CAATTAGTCAGTTTTAACATTTAAGTGAAATAACCAAATTTATTTATTTTATTTATTTATTATACGAGAAGAAATTGAATATGCAATTAAACAAGCTAAATGTGGTAAATATCCCAGGCCTGATGAAGTTCCTATCGAATTACCCATAATTGTGAATACTGAATCTGTTGATCTTCTTTTGGATCTATTCAATACCATTATATAGAACAGGTATAATACCTAAAGAATGGTTTCAATCAACATGCATACTGCTTCCCAAAAAAGCCAATGCAAAGGAGTGCCATGAACATCGCACCATAGCCTTAATGAGTCATATCTTGAAATTGTTTTTAAAAGTAATTCACAATAGAATACATAAGAAATTAGATGATGGCATAAGTAATACACAAATGGGATTTAGGAAAAGACTGGGTACACAAGATGCACTGTTTGCACTAAGTGTTCTTTTGCAGAGATGCTTAGATATTAATCAGGAAGTATATGCCTGTTTCATTGATTTTGAGAAGGCATTTGACAGAGTGCAGCATAATCGGCTTAAATAAATTTCATTAAATAAAAACATAGACAGTAAAGACATTAGTATCATATGTAACCTCTATTAGAACCAAACAGCAAAAGTGAAATTTGAAAATGAACCGACTGAGGATATTCCGATTCGCCGTGAGGTCCACCAAGGGTGTATTTTATCACCCTTATTATTCAATTTATACGGTGAAGCCATCTCAGAGTTAGCGCTTGCCGAGATCAGTGAGGGCCTTATAATAAACAGTGACCCACTTGATAACATAAGATATGCATATAACGACACCATCCTTCTGGCAGGAACACTAGAAGAACTGCAACACCTTGCTAAACAACTAAATATATATTGCTATGATTATGGACTAAAAATAAATTTGAAGAAAACAAAGTTCATGATATTTACAAAAGCACAAAACATCAAAGTTAAGCTAGTACTAGATAAAACAGAAATTGAACAAATATCTTCATACAAATACCTTGGAGCATGGATCACAGAAGATACTGATCAGACAAAAGAAATAATATGCCCTATTGAAACTGCATGGTCAACTTTTAATAGAATGAGAAAACTTTTTTGTAATTGCGATATCAATATATCGCTCCGGATAAGAATGCTTCAATGTTATATTATCTCTACCCTTTTGTATGGGGTTGAGGCTGGACACTTAAAAAAATCCAACATTAAAAACCTAGAAGCATTCGAAATGTGGTGTTACTGACATGTTTTGAAAATATCATGGATGGATCGCGAACCAAATGAACAAGTTCTCGAACAACTAGGAAAACAATGAGAAGTTTTAAATTATTTTATTTATTTATTATTATTATTATTAATCTTTATTAATAGCACATGGCTAGAAAAATATACATATAAATACATCAATTTATACCCTTAAAATTAAATCAGAATGCTTTGCTTAACATATATCTTACATAAATTTTTAAATTGAGCTAAGTTTCCAGAAGCCTTAATGTTTTCCGGTAATTCATTGTATTGCTTTAATCCCCTATAAAAAAGATTGTTCTGACCAAAATTAGTGTTGACCCTATTCAGATAAAAGTTATTTCTAGAATGTGTGTTGTGTTCATGTACATCTCGAACAAAGGTACAATTATTACACAAATGCACAGGTATCAGACCATTTAACATTTTATAAACAAAAATCATACTATTACATACAATTGTCTGTCTTACACTTAAAACATTTGCCATTGTTAGCATGTCAGTTCTACTAGTGTATACACTACATCCTAATATTATCCTTAAGGCTTTATTTTGTTTTTTCTGCAGTACGTTCATTTGAGAAGCATTCATTAAAAACAGCAATGTAGAGCAAAAATAGAGATGGGGAGCAATAATCGATTTATATATGGTCAACCTAGACCAGCAACTTAAATTTTTTGACATTCTTCCCAATGCATAGATTTTTTTTGCTATTTTGTTTGTAACAAACTTAAAATGTTCAACAAAACTTAAATTTTCATCTATAATACATCCCAAATACTTATACTGAACCACTCTCTCCAAAGCAATATTATTAATTTTTACATCTTTTATTATGTTATTTAATTTAAAATTTTTATTCTTTATAAGCATCATTTTTGTTTTAGTTACATTAAGACTTAAGGAATTATTATCGAGCCATTTTAATATATTACATATCTCTTCATTTATTATATCGATTATTTCATCTACCTTATCCCCTATTGCATATATCACAGTATCATTGGCAAACAACTGTACCTTACACTTTTTAACAACATCAACAATATCATTTATATACAGTATGAAAAGAGTAGGACCTAACACAGTTCCCTGTGGCACACCATACAGAGACTTCTGAGCCGATGAAATGGCACCATATTTTGTCACTTGTGTTCTATCAGTCAAATATTCTTGAAACCACTTTATAATTTTTTCACCAAAGCCATACCTTTCCATCTTTCTCAATAGCAGTTGTCTGTTTATGGTTTCAAATGCACGTTTAAAGTCTAAGAAAACCACACCAATCATTTTCCCGCACTCCAGCGCACCCTTCCAGTCAAACAAAACCGTCTGCATTGCACTCTCACAGGAATTTCCTCTCCTAAACCCTGCTTGGAATTTAGTTAACACATTATTGCTTTCCAAGTACCCCATATTTGATCATTTACACATAATTCCAGCAGTTTTTCGTATGGTGGTACCATATTTATGGGTCAAAATTCCTCACACTTAACAGTTCCATGAACCTTCTCAATTGGTACAACCAGACTTCTCTTCCATTTACTTGGGAATACGCCACTTTCTAGACTACCATTTATAATATGCAAAATTTTGTCGCCTATTACTTCAAAGGAACTCTTTAACATTTGAACTGTAATACCATCAACATTACTTTCTTTGTTTTTCATTTCTTTCATTTGTTTTTTTATATCTTTCATTTCTAACATTTTGAATTTTTCCATTTTGCAGTAGACATTTATTGAACTACAAATTTCTTGGTGGGTTTTGTTTGAAATAATGCTATCTGCTATGTCTTTTACACTGTCTAGAAAAAATATATTAAATCTTTCACTTATCTCTTTACCAGTAACCCCCCACCATCAAATATTATTTCACTTTTAGCTTCATGGTTTTTTTTGGCGTTTACAAGCTCCTTTAATGTTTTCCACATTCTTTTTGGGTTGTTCTTACAATCATCTATGTTTTCCTGATAATAATTTTGTTTGGTAATTCTGATTAATGCTACGACTCTATTTCTTTGTTGTTTGAAATCATCCCAGTCAGTATCAGTTTTAGTAAATATAGCCTTTTTGTAATATTGATCTCTTTTTTAATTTCATTCGCAATGTCTTCATTCCACCATAATTTATTTCCCCAAACATCCTTCGTATTAATAGACTTTTCTGGAGGAATTCCATAAAAATCAGGAAATTGGAATACTTGTTAGTTACTGGGGAAATTGTTACTGGGGCACATCATGAGAGGTGAAAAATACGAACAACTAAGGAATATAATGAAGGGTAAAATCAAAGGCAGAAGAAGTGAATGGTTTGGATGCAGTTCAATTGAACTATTCAGGTGCGTAAGCAACAAAATTATAATTGGCAGAATGATTTCCAATTTCGATAGGAGTGGAACTTGAAGAAGAAATTTATATTGATATGGTAAAACTAATCATCATCCAGTCTTGAATGCCACTGCTGTACCTTGTCTATGTGCGACGTGGAATTCCTCTGCCTGCAGTCACCTTTCCGCCCCAGGGGAATAACGGACGGGTGTTCGTAATCAGTATGCCAGTATCAGTATAACCAGCAGTAAGTTGTATGCCTTAACATGACAGGAAGACCAGGGTCTAGCCAGTATTATTATTGGAGGGTCACAAATGTAGCCATGTCACTTTCTTTCTTTCAATATCAGTTTAATGGCTGAAGCTTTTGTTAGATTGAGTATTATGTATGGGTATATGTATGGGCAGATATCTTTTATGCTGTCCATGAGTCCATCCAAGACATACTTAACATTTTAATGCATTCGGTTAACACTTGAACATTTTGATGAAACACACTGAACAGAAAGTCGTTTTACTATCTTAATTCAAAAGAATAATAAATTCTTTACAAAATTAATTTTATCAGTGTAAAATCTCTTATACCTTAGAATTTAGAAATGCTGATATGGTATATACAAAGTTTAAAAATTTACAAATATCCAAGAAAAGAAATAACTATAAATAAGAAAAAAACCCTAAAAATTGGTTGTATTTCTTCATCTACAAATTGCAAAGTAAATATAACATTTGATTTAAAAAATGTATTCAGATAATAGCTTTTGATCTGGAATGTCAAATGTACAATAAAGAATATATTTACCAATTTCTGATTTATTCTACAGAAGATATTTGGAAAAAATTGAGGAAGTAACAGTGAATTTTTATGTTTTGCTTAGGGTTTCACCAATATTTATGGATTTTCATTAAAATGAACCTCAAATTGTTAAATTTATGTAAATAATTAAAAAATTATTAACAAGTTATTTTGTAGTGTAAATAAGAACAGTTAACATGCACTATTTATTTACATGTACTTGTATTGGTTTTTGAGTATTGCATTTAGTTTATTATAAATCAACAAAATATTTTAATCGGTATAATGAAAATCCTCTTGCAAGTACAATAAGTTGGGTAAATTATTGGGTATACTAATATTATTTGCTAATATTGATTGCAGAAGTTCTGCACCTCAAAGTATTTGTCACATATTTATGCAGGACATGACATTCCGCCATTTTGATTACAATTAAAGATGAATTTCATTATAAATAATAAATTTAAATCATGTAAAATTGTAATAAAACGTGTGTCTAAAATTAAGCAAACCTTATGACACTAGTTTTAAAAATGTATTTAGAATATTTATTATAAACATTACGTCACGCATTCTTTTGAAATGGGTTGGGCAGATTTGAAAGAAATATTATAAATATCTGATCGTACCTGAATTTCTTCTGCTTTCGTGTTATATATTAAATACACTGATTATCACAAATACACAACTTCAAACACCAAATTCAAAATCTTAAATCACGTTGATAAACAAATATTTTTCTAAAAATATTTTTGACAACTTTGACGTATTGTTTTTGTACTGACAGACAAACTCGAATGACAGACATACAGTTAACTAAATTTACAGATTTTCAGATTAGTGTGAAGTTCTCGATTTTCTCTATACATGTATTCTTCCGAAGTTATACGAGTATACAATTAACGGAATTTAAATTTTTTAGGGTTACTCTCTACGTGTAGAAAATATTTTATTTATTTAAGAATAATTTGCAGCTATATATTAATATGTGCAGCAGTATATAGATATTTTAAAAATATTTAAGGGTCAGCTTTTTAATAACAAAATATTCAAAAATGTTATTTGTTAACCCCAATAATTTTGTAGTATATTCGCCTATGGTGAATCGTTAAAGAGCTGACAGTTTTCGTCTCAGGTATTATTCATCCATATCTTTCCACGAATGTCATTTCTCATAGGTTAAGTTAAAGCTTCCATTTAAAAATCATAACATAACATAGCCGCGATGAAAACAAAAAAATAAAAAATGTGGTAGCATATTGTGAACATTTGTGAAGTGATAATGTAAGGTTTTATAGACATATATCTAGTATTACTGTATAATGTAGTAACATAAAAGGAAAATAACAAAAACCAAAGCAATATGATGAAAATAAAAGCTTTAAATAGGGAATCTTCATCTGATGAAGATACTCCTGTTATACAAAGGGAGGCACAGGTAAATAACATATTTGTCGCTATACTTGAAGTATATATCTGCATAGAACTACTCAGAACTATAACTTGTAAAAATAGATTTGCAGCATATAGATTGGATACCTCATCAACTCCTATGTCCTAATTTACAAATGTAGAGCATAATGTTCGATATTGTCCCTATGCAAGGCTATTCTCCAAATTGACAATTGCTATTCAGCTATTCACAATTTAATTATATTTCCTATAGCTAACGAAAACATTTGTTTATATTAAAAATTTTAAAAAATGTAGTGATTAGTTATAGTGACTCTTTATTGCTTATGATTGATTAAGAAAATGAAACACTGAGTGGAGAATGAACAAAACAAACAAAATCTTAGGATCCATACTTAATGGTTTACTATACAAGTAATTGCAGAAATCAACAGTAATGATGATAGTTCAATTTCTTGTATTTTTCATTTTTGAAATAAATGTTCTCAAACTGTTTTCTTCTGAATTTTCAGTCTTTATACTAAATATCTTGTTAGCAGTCAACCATTTTAAGTATTTATTGGCAGTTACTTGATGAAAATTCATGCTCAATAACAAAACAAAACCACAACCAAACAAAGATATATTGTGAAGTCTCCTTTTTTAAACCTAACAGGAATTTACTAGGTAGAAAAGACAGTAAATATGCCTTAGAGAGTCTTACAAACTGCTTGCACACATAAACACACTCACTGGCACAATTAACCCCACCTTGTATTTCTTTCAATTTGCAGAAATTGTCATTCTTGGACCACATTTTATGAAAATCTTTGGATATTCAATTGTGGGATATTTTCTGCCACTCCTCTAATGCAGCTGTCTTAAGCTCTCTGAAGGATGTAGGGGCTGGTACTCTTGCTCTTACCTGTCTTTTGAGATTGTCCCAAATGTGTTCAATTGGGTTAAGATCTAGACTGCATGCTGGCTATGGTAAAACTTGAATCCTGACCTCATTATTTATTTATTTATTTATTTCAATGGTAGAACCATTTACAATAAAATACAACAAATAGTAAAAAGTAAAGATCATGTACAATAAACATCAAAACAATAACAAAGAAACAATTAAACAGTTAAAATTTGTACATTAACAATTTTAACTGTTACAATAATTAACAATGGAGTCACCAAAGCCAGATGCATTAAGTTTGTGGACCAAAAGATTATGATTAACCTGGTCAAAGGCCTTTGAGAAATTAGTGTAAATGCTGTCAACCTGAATTTTATTCTCATTAATTGACAATGACCAGAGCCGGAATGGGGACCAGAGAGGCCTTGTTTTCATTACAAGTACTGCTGCAGAAGTGTTACGACCAACAAAAGGATGTCTTTCTATGAAAAGGCATTTGATCGCGTAAACCATAATAAAATGTTAAATTCCTTGCAGAGCATCAACTTGGATAGTAAAGATCTCCAATTAATTAAGAACTTATATTGGAGGCAGAGTGCCAAGATTAGGATCGACGATCATACATCTAGAAATATTAGTATAAATAAAGGAGTAAGGCAAGGATGCATACTATCCCCTATGCTGTTCAGTCTTTACTCGGAACTACTATTCAAGCAAGCCTTGGAAAACCTTTCCACTGGAATAAAAATTAATGGAGAACCAATATCTAGCATAAGATATGCAGATGACACTGTCCTACTGGCTGATACAGACACAAACTTACAGAGGGTTATAGACCACCTTAAAGATGCTTGTCGAGAGTTTGGAATGAAGATCAACGAAAAAAAAACAAAAGGAATGGTGATCCAAAGAAAACAGAATATCCCCTTACCTATAAAAATAAATGGGAATATTTTAGAACAGATAAACCAATACAAATACCTTGGCTGTTGGATTAATTGCAAGCTGGACCCAGAACAAGAAATTAAAGCGAGAATTGCTCAAGCTAGGGATAGTTTCTTTAAGATGCGCGTTCTATTCTGCGATACACATATAAATATTAAATTGAGATTAAAACTTGTAAAATGTTTTATCTGGTCTGTTCTTCTCTACGGAGTCGAAACGTGGACTTTAAAAATAAAAAGCCTGAATAGAATCGAGGCATTTGAAATGTGGGTATACCGTAGAATTTTAAAAATTCCTTGGACAGCACGAAAAACAAATGAAGAAGTACTAGCTAGACTCAATTTAGAAAAAGAACTATTGAGAACAGTCAAAAGAAGAAAAACCAGTTATTTAGGGCATTTGTTGCGCAACGAGAAATACTACATCCCTCAGTTGATAATAAAAGGCAAAATAGAAGGAAAGCGAGGAATTGGAAGAAAAAAATTGTCCTGGTTACGTAATATCAGAAACTGGACAAGACTTGGATTTGAGGAACTCTTAAGAGCAGCTGAAGATAGACAAACGTTTGCCACCATAACCGCTAACCTCCATTGATGGGGACGGCACTTGAAGAAGAAGAATTGACAATGACTTCCCATTAGAAAATCCATATTGTTCATCAATACTTATGTTTCTGCAAGCCCAGGTGAGATTTATCTATACCAATTTATCAAGAAGTTTCGGGATTGCTGATTGAATAATGATACCTCTATAATTGTTAACACACTCTTAATTGCCAGATTTATAGATAGGTGTAAGAAAACTATTTTTCCAATGTTCTCCAATGAGCTACAATTAGAAAGGCTTTATTATAAGACCACTTACTTTAAAACTGACATTTTTTCACACAGTATTTTGATTTAGTTTTTATTTGTATATAAAATTGTTGTAATCACTGATAATATACATTAATAACAAATGTTTCCTTTGCTGTATTCATAATTGCTGTAGTAAATACTAAGTACATTTTTTTTATATTTCGCTTTTACACAATACATATTATTTTATGTCTGTAAAGTTAGCATATTAATTTTATAAGGCCAAATTCAGACCAATACTAGAATTTATTGTTAATTTAATATGGAAAGAAAAAATTTATTGCTGTAGCCATTTGCAAAAAACAATGGGTATGCGAATTTTACAATAAAGCTAGCATAACCATAGCTATATGGTTATGCTAGTTTTACAACAAAAGATCCATCAGTCTCAGAACAGAAGAAACATGTAATCAGAGAGAGAACCAATAATCTTAGAAAGCAGAAGTAGAGAAGGCTCTCAACCAACAAGAAACATAAAATCGACAATGGTCTAGATTGGCATATATGTAATACTGGATATGTGCAACATAATAGGGATCGCAGGTGAATGAACGGCTAAAGAACTTTCTACTCCCAGAGATAGCTGAAGAGCAATGTGGATCCGTACCAGGAAAAGAAATGCAGGAGCAGATACTGACCACCAGACAGATAATAGAAAAAGCTAGAGAATACAACATACCAGTGCTACTCTATTTCGTAGATTATACAAATGCTCTCGATTTGCTAAAATAGGACCCCTTTGGAATATAATGGAAAATATGGGAGTACCTAACCACCTAGTTAACCTAATAAGCCACTAAGTAAAAACTCAGCTACAGTTAAAATACATGCTGTTACAAATTTATATGGGAGTCAATCTGCACAATCATTACATATGTAATGCTATAGATAAGAGAGAGCAGAAAGAGAAAAAGAATTAGGTATATAGGTATATGGTGTATCATTTGCTGTATATAAACATTTGCCCTGTAATAGGAGTATAGTAAATGAAGGATTGAATCAATATTTTAATGAAAATATATATTTTTATTTTCATATATGTATAAAAGGAGTTGAATGCAAAAAAAATGTTTACACATACTCTGCAGTAAAATTCATTGTTTATTTTGTTATTAATATAAAAATACAATACAAACAATACACTGCAACATAATTCAATATAATAATACAATACAAATTAAAATGCAATATTCATAAGTATTTAAACATGACAATATACATAACTTACTTACGCATATGTTTAATTTACCATGATAATAATATTAATTGGTCAAAGAAGAAGAGAAAGACCCAGAACAAGATTCCTAGATAACATAGACCAAGATATGAGAAATATGGAAATATGTGCTTGGCAGAGGAAGGCGATGGATAGGGAAGACTGGAAGAGAATTCTTGGGGAGGCTAGGACCCACACAGGGTTGTAAAGCCAAAATGATGATGATGATAATATTAATAAAAAAATAATAATATTAATAAATATTAAATATATTTACAAAAGGAACATTTTTATTCTCGAGAGAGAAAATATATCTTACATATGTAATGATTTTGCTGATTCACTCTCGTACAAATTTCCAACGTCGAACGCGCGTATAGAAGTATAACTTCAAAAAAATTTTGTGGAAGATAAAAATAAAAAACCAACAACTTGGATTATGTTGTAAATTTTCATTTTATTTTAAAATTTAGCATTTTTGCGTATATTACATATATTTAATGAGATTAACGTGAGGTTTTTAAATATTTCAAAAATAAAAAAGGAAATTCATATTGGGATTCGAACTCACATATTATACCAATGTATGAACCAAACACGTAAAAAATTTGCCAATTAGACATGAAACTAACATATTTCAAAATTGATAGTTCTCGGTCATACAGTGATTTATTGTAATTATTATTTTGAAATCTAATAATAAAATAATTATGAACATTTAATAAATAATACAAAACATATCACATAAATAATGATATTAATATTATATAATATTAAATAAATATACAAAAGGAACATTTTTATTCTCGAGAGAGAAAGAGAGAAAATATATCTTCTGTCTCTCTCTTACTCATATCTTACATATGTAATGATTTCACCGATTCACTCCCGTGCAAATTTCGAACGTCGAGCGCGCGTATAGAAGTATAACTTCAAAAATGAACTAGACAGGGCTGCATACTATCACCATTATTGTACAACATATTCTGAATATATAAAGAGAAAAGTACTAGATAAATGGGATGGAGGAATCACTACAGGAGGCAGAAAAATCAGCAACCTGTGATACGCAGATGATACACTTATACTAGCATCGAATGAAGTCTAAATTATTACCATCACTGAACGGTTAAGGCGGATAAGCGAAGAATTCGGACTTCAAAACAACACCAGAAAAACAAAAATAATTATCGTAGACAGAGCAAATAATAATCTATCGCACATAAACCAAGTGGCGAATTTTGAAGTGGTAGACAGATTTGTATACTTAATAATCAACATCCCTGATAACCAACAATGGCGATTGCTCCTCAGAAATCAAGCATAGACTAGCAATGCCCTGAACCGCAACAGCTAAACTGATTAAAATATGGTAAGACTGAACAATAACAAGGAATACTAAGCTCAGGTTGGTCAATGCCCTTTCCCATTGCTACATATGCAGCTGTCACATCGACACTCAAAAAAAATCGATAAGAATATGATTGAAGCCTTTAAATAAAAGAATTTATGAGTGTCCTGGACATAACATAGAACCAACCTGTCAATTATGGGAGAGCTTCCTATAAAAGACAGGCTATTAAAAAAAGTAAAACCAGCATACCAAATTTACTTTGGCCATATAGCTAGAAGAACAGGGGCAGTGGAACTATTAGTAGTAGAAGGCTGAAAACCAAGAGGAAGATCTCTAACACTATGGGCAGACCAAATGAAAACTGGTGGGAAAATCCCTACATGAAGCCGTCCATATGGCACACTATCGCAGCCAATAGAGGCAGCAAGTCAATAATAGTTAGAGTGTCATCACGCCCTGACAAGGGCTCAAGGAACGAGTAGGAGAATGTAATACCAAATTAAATAAAAAATCGTTCATATTTTTTCATGCCAATTTTTATTATAATCCACTAATATATAATATATAATTCATTAAAGATTATTAATTTTATCGGCTATCAAGTACAGTACTAAATATAATTTGTTGATTTTTAGGAAGAAATTGCTTTAGAGCTGTACAACAAAGCACTTTGTCTTCAAAATGAAAGAGGTTTTTCTGAGGCAGAATCAATATTATCCAAACTGATAGAAGAAAACATTCCTTTGTTGGAAAACAATGGAGGTCTACCAAAATCGATGTCTAATCTAAAATATTCGTGCCATATGAATATTGGAAATATCTACTTAAAACTGAATAGAGTCAATGAGGCTCTGGAAAAATACTTACTGGTAAAGTTTAAGATATTATCTTTCCTATTCGCCATTAGTTTTTTGTTCATATATAATAGCTTGTATTATATTTCCTACATCATATTTATCTATTTGTTCTTTATTTATTTACGATATATTGCAATTGTAGACTGAAAGATCATCATCATCATCATCAGTAGCTCAACAACTCTTTTACAGTCCTGGCTTGTTCTAGTATTTTCCGCCATTCTGTTCCGTTCCTTGCGTTGTTTTTCCAGTTGGTAATCTTAAGTGTTGTCAGATCTTGTTCCACTTGTTCCATGTATCTAAGTTTGGGTCTTCCCTTTGACCTTCTCCCTACTGGTGTTTGCCTCAATATTCATAGAATTATATATTTATGCACTACCGTTTGTTATATAATCAGGTAATAAATTGTACATTTATGTTCTTGGTGAACAATTAGCCTATAGTTTCAGGCTTTATGTTCAGCTGTTTCCTCTGTATTTTTGCAGAATCTTCAGGTGACTCTGTCTACTTTACCTATTTTGAGATGATATCTGAGTGAGCAAACCTTTAATTAGTATGAGTTAAATTTTCTGAAGATGTAAGAATATTTTGCTTACCAAACAGAAGGTTGTAATAACTTTTTTACTTGTATTTGGCCTGCAAAATGGTTGTGGTCCAATAAAGGGATTAAGACTATCAGCAATATCATTATTAACAATTCCTTTATGGCCTGATATTCATAATAAAGATCACTTTGTTATGCTGCACTGGTTGATTAAGGAACTGTTTGCAGTTTCAAGCTGTTTTATTTGTTAGCTTGGTTATCAGACTCACTAAATATTTTGGCCGAACCTGGAAATTTTTCAGAAGTTCTTAAGCCCAAAAATCTATTGTTACAACTCTTGCTTAACATATGGTAGCAGTACTTCCGAGCGCTATTGACTGTCTGGTGTTAGGACCCTGAACAGATATTTATAGTCCTTTAGGTGTTTTTCAGCCATCAGTATGTCAGGGCATCTGTTGTGATTTAAGCGATTTTGTTTTGTTTTAACACACTCTTTTACACTGACATTTAACGAGAGTTTGCAATCTTGTTTTGCAGTCTTAATGGTAGGCATCTTCATGAATTGAGTTGTTCCAATCCATAAAATCTCCAGGTGTCCAATCAGGTCGCTGAATTTAGATACTGAGTATAAGTTAGGCTAAAGACACTTGTTAGAGTGATCCTCTGTAGACGTAATACTGTAAGAGAAGATCTACCCTTCCATGTACGCCTAAAGTCGATCACGTCATTGCACCTGTGATTCCGTCTAAATTCCATTCCGAGTTAGGAGCGAATTGTTATCTTATTTCTGTTATTGAATGAAACAAGGGTCGGTTTATTATGATTTACTAAAATCCTTTCAAATACCAGGTAGTTAATAGGTTTAAGGTCATGCTTTCCTATACTAACTACTACTACTAATTACTATACCTTGATCATCTGCAAAGCTCAGAGCATGATATCCTTCTCTTTTGAGTTTTGTTACAATATCGTTAACTGTTTCGAATATTTGATATCTTTATTTTATTAATTATGATTTTATTTGTCTTGCTCTTTTGCTATCTCCCTAATTTGTTTCTGAATCTCTTGATCTGGATAAAATCTCAGGTTTTTGCATTTTATAGCTTACTCCGCTTTTTTAACTTGCCCTGACGATTTTTTTATATTTGCAGAATATTTGAAACTTGACAAGATTTTGATCTATTTTTTTATTTACTTATTTTTCTCCTTTTTTTTGAACGTTTGTTTCTGTTCTACACCTATCGTACTTCAGCCAATTAACTTATTGTACATCTTCCACTAGCTGATATACAAGTTCTCGGGACTTTGGTAGATCTGGAATATATAATCTCTCTGCCAACACTTGATGAATCTTTTATTTGATCTTGGTATACCCAGAAGCCTTTTTTTTTCAAGGTGACATGGAACCTTCTCATAGCAAAAGTAAGTTCTGCAGAAGCTATCTTACTGTGCTGAAGCTTCGCCTGTAGGATCCTGATTGGAGATCAGGATCAGGACCACAGTATTGAGACCTGAGCTATCTGTTTTTGTCCCGTGTTCCATTTATTCGTACTAGTTGGGACGAAATGTATTTAATATATCTAAAGTAATGAGATAGCTGCAGCTCCTTTGCGATATTCTCAGTGAATCAATGTTTATTTATTTATACTTTATTCATACCCATCCTATAGACTTATAAGACGTTCTCTAACGGCACGGAACTTCCCCACCCAGTCTGCCCTGCGTGGAGTACTTGAGAACTTAGATTGGCGCAGTGATCGACGCATTGCCTGTTTCTTCATCTCAACAAGAGTTATTGTTTTTATATTATTATACACAGATTTTTGCCTTTTTGTATTAGTTAGATTTTTCCCTTTAACCGTCGCAGTAGGTGCATTGCGCTAACCTTTCAAACGAAATTTTAGTTTAGATTTCAGCGGACAAGGGATTTTTGCGATAAGAAATTTTCGTGTCTTCTGCGTCAGTACTCGCTCAAAGCGTCACAGGAGTTCTATTATAACAAACGACTATTTGTAAAGAGAACGAAATCGACATTACATAGTAACAAGATCCAATACAAATGTTACATAACAAAAAATTCGGCGCATATGGGATTATAATAGAATAGAATAAAATAGAAAGAAAGGTTTTGTTGCTTTATTTATGCTTCCATTTCTTTTTCTATTTCAGGCATCTGAGTTGGATGGCACCGATGTGACTTTATGGCATAAGATCGGCATGTTGTCACTGGATCAGAACAAATTCCGTCAATCAGCATATGCATTTGCAAAGGTATCTTGAAAAAGAAGTTACAGTATACAAGTTTCTTTAATATTTTGTTAGATGTTACCCAAGGACTATTGAACCTTTCACCTTTTTAAATAAAAATTTAGATATTATATCAGTACATTCAGTACTATTTTTTTATACATATGGCTATAAAAAGGATACTCATATTACAGTGCATTCATTTTTCAATTAGGCATATGGTTTTTATGTAATTATTGGCCAACACCGCATCACGTGGGAAAATCGATCTGTAGATAAATCATTTAAACCGACTCCACTGTACTGAAAAACTGAATTGCATGACTTACGACTTATTTTTATTGAATTATTAAACTTCATACCGCCTTAGAATTAAATAATGTGTCTAAGTTCAATAACTAAAAATTAACACACAACCAAAAAATAAATATGTACTCAAAAAAATTATGTACAAAAAAAGTTGGATCAATTGAATGCTTTCTGATAAACATTATTTTTGGTCTTATTTGATGTGCATAAATATACAACAATGATGATTTTCTGACGCGCGAAAACACGAAGTCTAATTTTCCGTGTGGAAACTCTCAGTTGATTCCTCAAACTTCGAGCAATTGGCTTTATTTCATTGCCATTGTTATTGCAAACCCTAAAATTATGGGAAATTGTAAACGTTTAAAATCAAATGGCACGTTTGAAATGGTGGTCCATAATGGTGTGGTAAGAGGAATTGGACGAGATGGGACGGGTGACGCAGTGGACGAAGTCGTTGATTTCTAATCTGAAAAGATGGATGGAGTGCGAGTAGCGATTGCAATCCAGCAGCATTTTCAGTCCAGCTGGATTTTTGCAAGATTGGCCTGAATCCAGCTGGATCCAGCAAAATGTGGAATTAAAATAAAAACACGATTTTAGTGTTTTCTTTTTGTTCATTTATTTCTTAAGCTTTTTAATACAAACTAATAAAATAAAAACTCAAAATAAAAATTATATTAGGTGTATATAATCAAATAAGAACGCATAATCAGTCGCAATTCGCTATTAATCTTACCTCTCTTTAACTTAAAATGGTTAGAGCAAATGTCACAATTATCATGAGATTTAAAAAACAACTCGTACTCAGTAAGCCGTGGAAGTGAAACATAGGGCTTTGCTTGTGTCGGCTGAGAATTGTCACGAATGAAATTTTATTCAAATGAACTGATCTGTTGTAAGAGTAGTTCATTTGAAGCAAATTTCATTGATTGCAATTTTGAGCGGACACAAGTTAAGTAATATGTTTTTCTTCCATAGCTTCGTGTATATGAGAACAGAAACATGAATTATTTAGTTTTTTGGAAGTGAGTTTTAGTTGGAAGCTTTAGTTTGTCTAAGACAAATTTCAAGGTTGTGTCGGCCGTTAAGAAAGTGGACTCTCTTCTGCAAAGAGCTTCACAGCCAGTTTCACCGGTTGGAGAGTGGCGATCAACTCATTGATTATTGACCACTCGCCAGCAGAGAATTTTATCGCAGAATCAATGTCTCAATGCTTTATCGATGCTAACTTTTAGGCTGTAGAAACGTTCCAGCATACTGAGCAAACTGTTCCACCTGGTGCGGCAGTCAAGAATCAAACTTAATTCATTGTATAGTACATCAGATTGAGAGAGGCACTTATTAGGCGTGAAAACACTTTTACTGGCGAGAGCAGAAAGTCAACTCAAAATTAGACAAATAGAAGACGTATAAGAGTCATTGGGTAGGCGTAGGCGGTGCACTTTCGATCGAGACGCTGAGTGAGCAGGTCACTGGTGACATACCCGCTCCGGAACAGCGTCGGCGAAAGATTTGAGAGAGTGTATACTCTGAAGTTGCTGCGCACAGTTTGTCTACAGGAGAAGGTCGGCCGAAAAAACAACGACGCTTGGCGTTGCTTACAAAATTAATTAGTACGGGGTTTAAGTAGAATATACTTAAGAATTTCTCTTTTGAAAGCTTAAACGCTCCAAGAACAAGTGCCAGTACGCCGACCACTATTTCGCCGGTACAGACGTCCAACGAGGGACCCTATAGCAGCGTTGGTAAACGCTGGTAAGTAGAGTCACTTTTGATCTACTACACAGAGCACGCCAGTAGAACAAACCTTTTTTTCGAGATGTTTTACCGCCCCCTGGCTCCGTGAGGCTGCGGAGTCCGCTGGTGGTCTGCGCCTGTGTCGTCCTAATCCACAATCGATATGCCTGGGTCTACCAGGTCTGCATATTCCTCCCGGTCTGTGACTAGGTCACAGACCGCTGCACTAGCTGCCAACCATACGCCCCACTCCTCCACGATTACGAGACGGATTCGGTTCATTCAAAGATCATACGACCCTTACTCTTCTGCCCAAGAATTATTAGATCTCAATACCGAAATCCTCGCCCTACAAACTCGTTTCAACATGAAGCGTCGTGAAATCTAACTTAATGATACCAACCATCCCATCCGTTCTAAATTGAACAATGACTATCCCCCACTCCTCTCTACCCACAGGAAACTTTCAATATCAAAATCCGTCAAAACAAACAACCCCTCTACATCAAAATTCATTCAATCCTCTAGCCAACAATCGACTTCAAAAATCAACCCACCGACTCGTCAAATCCAAAACCTCAACCTCAACCCAGCACCTCTAACCCTGCCAACAATCAATCGTTCGCCTCTGCACTTAAGGCACCCCCAACTTCACGCACACGAAACAACCCAAATATCACCAATTCAATAAACAATCCAAAAACATTTGAATATCTCGTAAAAGACATCCCCCGTGAATTCTGCAATCAGAGGATCTTTTTCCGCAATTTAAAATCTATACCTATGATCTTCAACAAAATTCACTCCCTAAAAGTACTTTCACATGGTATTGCCCATCTCAGAACCCTCCACTCTATGAATGCTGAAGAAATTCAACAGAAAATTCACAAAGCCACAGGTCAAATCCAAATCAAAATCACGAACAGAGTCCATACTTCTAACGATCAATCTTCCAGACAAGAGGCATTTCAATTCCTCATTGTAAACGTGTCTCACGAATACAGTGAGGAAGAACTAACCCAAATCTTACAAAATGATCAGAACATCCCTATCGCTAAGTTGTGGAGAGTCAAATCTCGGCATACTGGCAAAGACTAAACTAATCAAAGTCCTTACTACATCTTCCGACAAATTCAAGCACGTCCTGAACTATGGCATCCCCTTAGATGGACTTATCCATTACACCGAGCTCCCCTACGGAGCTAATCCGATCATTCCAACCCCAAAATACTGCAGCAAATGCTGCACGAATGGCCATACAATATCAGAGTGCCGCCAACGATCCTTTATCTGCCCCAATTGTAGCCAAAGCCACAAATCCAGCGATTGTCCAAACCCAAATAAGCTCAAATGCCCTAACTGCGGTGACGAACACACTGCATACTCCTCTCGTTGCCCTAAAAGGCACGAACAACCAAATAATCCTCATCACATCCAACCCCTCTCCATCGAAAGGTTATCTCCCCCTTTAGACCTAACCACAGATCTCCAAAACACAATAAAACTTAGTACCTTAGTACTACTGAATATCCTCCCCGAAAGACGGGACCTAATAACCACTATCACGAGATCCGTGGTAGAGAGAATATTCGGCCATACAATTACATTGTCTCGCTACAGCAACAAGGTCGAAATGACCTTTCACCCCAACTTCTAAATACCTTTTATGGATTTCACACTAGGAGCAGTTAATTGCCAAGGGATCTCTAAAAAGAGACCCCTAATCAAACATATCCTGCAAAAACACAATATATAAATCCTTACCATCACTGACACTCTCTGTCAAAACACTACGACTTTTGCAGGATCTACAACAATTTATTGAAGCCGCTGTCAGGTTTCCCGTGGGAATGGTATCCTCATCAAACATGGATTACCACACTCCCCCCACGTATTCCCTCAAAACATACCTCCACCCAACGTGGACTTCCTGGCAATTGACCTCCACCTTCCTAACAACCAAACCCTCACGATAATCTCTTACTACAGGCATCCAGCCAGCCCGCTTTCTATCGAACTTCTAGAGTATTTCTCAACTCTTACTAAAGCAATCCTCATGGGCGACCTGAATTGTAGACACACTCAATTCGGTGATCATTCCACAAATCCGGAAGGCATCGTACTCTCCGATACACTTTCCTCCGATACCTTCCAATTATCAGAATCACCAACACTGATTATACGTATTTGGCCGCAAATGGGGCATCTATCATCGACCACATCATCGTTACTGGTAGCGTGATGCACAGGTTTGATGATCGATGTCACATAGGCGACACAATAACGTCCGACCATCTTCCGATATTAGTCAACTCTGATATCATGTCACCAAAAACTCCTCCACCCGCCAGACAAATAAGAGATTATCGAAACACAAACTGGCCAAACTTCAAACAATATATCACAAACAATATTCCTGTTAGGCGAAATAGATACAAACGAAAGTATCGACCAGAGTGTAATTCAAATTGAGAACTTCATAATCGAGGCAATCAATCACTCAATTCCAATGAAAACAATCCAACCTTTCTCTCCGGCACTTCCACAACACATCATTGCCAAAATACATAAAAAAGACGACTTTTACGTCAATACAAGATCAACAGAGACCCCCTAGTCAAAACAGAGTATAATCGCATCTCTGCTCGAATTAAGGGGGAAATATCTATCCTACAGGCTCGCCAGTGGGAAGATGCTACCTCGAAATTGGATTACAGAGATGGGAGTAAATTCTGGAACAAATTTAAAGTCCTAACTAAACAAAAATCATCTCAACCATCTCATCTGTTGATCGACAATCAAATTATCAGTTCCCCTGAACTGAAAGCCGAAGCATTCAGAAACTCATTATTCGAAAACTTTCAAACACCCAACAACCCAAACTTTGATCGCTTATTCAAAACCGAAACTGACTATGTAGTAAGAAATACTCTCTTGCACCAAACTCCGAATCACGTCCCTATCATGGACCCTATTACTGACAGAGAAACGGAGAGTTATTGCCGCTTCGGCAAAAATAACGCTCCCGGACCTGACAAAATCAGTAGAAGGTATCTAAAGCAACTTCCTGAGAGTATAACACCCCTTCTCGCCAAAACTATTAATGCCTGTCTCAACAACAGCTATTTTCCTACTCCTTGGAAAATAGCCAACACCATAATGATACCCAAAAAGGGCAAACCCCGTACGAACGTGGAATCATACAGACCTATCTCTTTTATCAATTCTCTAGGGAAAGTCCTTGAGTTAATCCTAAAGGAAAGGCTCAGCGACTATCTCGACACAAACAATATCATCCCCAAATTTCAGTATGGATTCCAACCAAAACGTTCCACTCATAATGCATTAATAGACTTCACCACAAAAGTATCACAATCAATAAACGGCAACAGCATCGCCATCGCCACTTTTCTCGATGTGCAAAAGGCCTTCGATCAAGTCTGGCATGACGGACTCTATTAAACGGTGTCGAGAATTGGTGCAATAAGTGGAGAGTCACCCTAAACGCTGCGAAAACACAAACCATTGTGTTTCGCGCTCCCAAAACATCTGGACGTCTTGCAGCCGACAATGTCGAACAAACACCCCTGTACCTAATGAAAAACAGGCTCGTAACTAGCCCGAGAGCTTCCTACCTAGGCGTCTTATTTACCAAGACGCTTAATTGGGACGCTGATCTAAAGGAAACTTTTGATAGGGTCAGAAACAGAGCTCGTCTCCTAGTACCACTTGCAGGGACGTTTGGCAAGACAAGCAACACCACTCTCACTCATACTTATAAAACCTTTATTTGACCCGTTATAGAGTATAAGGCACACTTATACTGCCTTCTAAAGGAACGACAGAGAAGGAAGTTGCTCTCGACGGAGCGCAGGATACTGCGTAGAACCTGTAGAAAACGGTAGCACTTCCCCTCCCGTGAAATCCATCGAACGGCCAACACCACCCCTATCCTTGAGAGATTAAAAACTCTCAACAGGAACTTCACCCTCAGAACCATCAACGGTCCTCCGTCCAACACTCAAGACACCTTAAAAAGTTCCTGTTCTTTCAGAGGACATACAGTAACCCGGATACCCAAATTCAAACACCCTCATCCTCCCTCAATTCTAATGCAAACATGCATCAATGATCTTCCGGCAGATTACTTTGAAATTCTAGAGGCCACTCCGTATGCCTACCGCATAGCCTAAACTATCATCCACCCTCAATCATCCACCCATCCCATTCCCTATCCCGGACAGGGGGAGATTAATTTTTTGCGGTTTCCCAATCTCACTACTAAATGATACTATTTGATAATAGCCGCAACTATTTTCTCACCTGAATCGACAGCCGCAGGAACCGTCTATCGAACTCCGACGAAGCCTGGCCGTTAGCGGACACAAACAACAACCGCGGGATTTTAGTGCAATACACTAGTCTCGTGTTGTTTGTGAACGCATAAACGGCTGCAGGAACAATGGTCACTAGAGAAACGGTTCAGGCTACTGTCGAGTCAGTACACAGACATTCACACACACATACATTTACACTACACATACATACAACTCACACATTCCAACAGTGAAAGGGGCCCTCTTTCATGCTACCGATGCACCCTCACCTTCGGGACCCCCGACCGCCTGCAGCCTCCGTTACTTTACACGGGATCTGTGGGCGGCCGGGGAGAATCTAGATGGTTCGAGGAGTCTGTAACACCGAAATGGTAGCGTCCGTCACTGTTGGAATACCACACACATTCACACTGAGCAAAGTGCGACAAGCCGACTCTCGAAAGCCGAGACGCCTCCACTCACGATCACGCCCGTCCACGAAATTTCAGTGCAATACACTGGTTACGGGGACGGGTTAGGCTCGAGACTGCACAGGACCAATGGTCACTAGAGACCCGTTCTTGTCGTACCTAGCTCAAAAACTCACACACGACAAATTGAAAAGAACAAAACACACACAACTAGCCTTTCTCTCTGATTCTCTGGCTCTCCGAATTTTTAACTTTGAATAATGTCATTGAGTATTGAGGCTTGATCCGTGGTATACCGATGATTCCAACGTACGTACCATTTGATTTTTAACTTTGAATAATGTCATTGAGTATTGAGGCTTGATCCGTGGTATACCGATGATTCCAACGCACGTACCATTTGATTTTTAACTTTTACAATTTCCCATACTTTTGCATGCGGAATTAGAGTTTCCATGTTTCGCGAATGAAATTATTCGTCATAAATCAGTTACCGTAGTATATTTGCAACGTAAAAAATTAAAATATTGTTATTTAAATAAATAACAATATTTAAATAAATAAATTATCAGAAAGCATTAAATTGATTCAACTTTTTTCATGCATAATATGTTTGAGTATTTTTGTTGGTTTGTTTTCCACTACTTTTTTAGACAGTTGTTTAATTCCCTTACCTAGGAAGTTCGCCGGGTCAGCTAGTAATTATATAAAAATAAAAACATTTTATAGGTCTAATATTGTTGTGGTGTGTTTGCAAAAATCTTATCTTGATTGAAATACTATTTATTTATATTATCAAATTAACTTCAACCTGAAACCAGATACGTGTATTAAAGATTTAAAATAATAAAAAATATTATTTGTTAAACGCACAAAATTGAAATAACCATTAAGTTTCTGATTTTTTTTAATGTTCTGTGCAATTTTTCATCAACTTTAGCTATTTGTACTATTTAAATTTCTGTATTTTTTAATTTTAGGGTCTCGAATGTAGTGAATCACATTGGCCTTGTCTAGACAAAATAATATCTGTTTTATATGCAATAAGAGATACAGTCGCGTGCCTGGAATATATAGGAAAAGCTTTAATGCTAGATCCAGATTACAGTAAAGGATTAGTATTGAGGAAACAAATTTATAGGGACAATCCAGCTACAAAAGAATATTATAAATTGTATAATCCTGAAAGGTGAGGACAAATTCCATTTTTGGCGTTAAATATGATTTCCATTCAACTTGTGTTTTGATTTTGCTACAAATATAGAATTTATTGATTATACTATTTCGATATTTTAGCATTTGGGAACCACCTTTAGATGTACCAATCGATGAAGAAGACGAAAAGAGTTTCCTTGAAGAAGCACAAACGTTATGTGATAAAGTTACTGCAGTAGAAAAGTCATTCGAATCGAAGCCCTTGCAAACTATTGCGCTTCCTAAAAATTTGAAAGATTTTACGTGGTTGTCTCTAACAGAAACTATTATTTTCATTCATCAATACTTAGCAGATCATGAACTGGTATGTATGAAACTGCATTTTATAAAGATTGCGTTATATTTTTAAATAATACATAGTTCTGGTAATTTTTTCTTGTTGTATTTTCAAGTGAAATATTTGATTTATGTAGGATTAAACCACAATTGATTTTAATGAAAATTACATTTTACATTTATGTTTGATGTTTCGATTTTCACTTCGGAAATCGTGTTCAAAAAAAATTAATTAAGAAGCGCTTTTTAGAATTTGACAATGACTTACTTGATCTCGATTTTCTATACACAATTTAAAGAATTTTACACCAAACTTATGCCGTTTATTCTTTATACAGTATTGTGCGAATTAATCGAATCATTGTGACATTTTTCAATGTCCACACATTTACAACAGAACCATGATACAAATACAAACAGATAAGATACCGCGCATGTGGGCGTGGCTTATGCATGACTTTTGTGACGTCAACTTGTGCTAAATTTCGCCATATTGTGTTTTGACGTTTATGTACATTTACGGTTCATAGCCAATATTTAATAAAATAATATTTTAAAAATGTTATACGGCTTTAAATTTTTCCCGATATGAGGTGTGCAGTGTATGGTTTTGCCGTTGACAATATGAGCAAGAGTTTTGTACCCGGTACAGCATTTTGTAGCTTTCCAAAAGACAAGGAAATGCAAGCTGTTTGGAAACATTTGTGTGAACACCAGGATAATTTTAATGTTAAATTTGCTCGTGTTTGCTCTAAGCACTTTGTTGAAAGTGATTGAAGTGATGAATCGGTCATTCAGGTTGGCAAAATATAAAATAGAAGTCAACTACGTCAACGTTTCGCTTTACACTTCTAAAGCTTCATCAGTTCTAACTCAATATGTAGTATTAAAGATGATATTATATATGTACTTAAGTTTACTCATTATTTAGAACTAACTTAAAAAAAAACAGACACAAAGGACACAAAAACTTTGCAAAAAATAATATTCGCAGAAACAAAGATTTAACAAAATTTTAAACGTACATTTGGCTTCATTTAGAGATGGTTCTCCAATGAAGACAAACAAAACACTGGTGAGTGTTTTGTTTGTATTCATTGGAAAACCATCTCTAAATGAAGCCAAATGTACGTTTAAAATTTTGTTAAATCTTCGTTTCTGCGAATGATATTATGTTTTGCAAAGTTTTTGTGTCCTTTGTTTCTGTTTTTTAAGTCAGTTCTAAATAATGAGTAAACTTAAGTACATATATAATAACATCTTTAGTACTACATATTCAGTTAGAACTGATGAAGCTTTAGAAGTATAAAGCGAAATGTCTTCTATGAAGTAGTTGACTTCTGTTTTTTATTTTGCCGACCTGAACGACCGATTAACCTCTGAATTCACTAGTTGAATACTTTATTAATGTTTATATATATATATATATATATATATATATATATATATATATATATATATAGTTGGGAGATTAAATAAATATAACCATATTTTAGCATATCCTGAAGAAGCGAATAAATTTTGTGAAAGCTAAATAAAAGAACAAAGAGTTTTACTTATCCTGCCCTATTAATGACTGCAACCTCAAAAGAAAATATATATATATATATATATATATATATATATATATATATATATATATATATATATATATATATATATATATATATATATATGTAGGTAGGAGATTAAATAATTATAACCATATTTTAGCATATCCTGAAGAAGCTAATAGATTTTTGTGAAAGCTAAATAAAAGAACAAAGAGTTTTACTTATTCTGCCCTATTAATGACTGCAACCTCAAAAGAAATAGTTTACCTAACGTGTCAGTCAATAATACCTAACTACTATATATAAAATATATATTGTATGAAAATCACATTCCATAGTTTGCAATTTGTGGCATTCGGCCATGGCTCCCTCCATCAAACTTCACTCTTATGGGAAAATTGTTATTTTTTACAATATACTAATTTAAATACTTAAGCTTAAATTTACGTAGTAAATAAAACATCTAGTAAATTATATTAAAATTTCAACAGTTCGTTTCATCCGCAAGCATGAATACATTTTGAAAATTTAGCACAAGGTGACGTCATGCGCGTGAGTGTACGAGTTTAGTGCGTGGCAATATCATATCTGGTATCCTTATATCATGCAACAGAACTGACCAAGCATTGAAAACATAACCCTACTTTTCTCTCCCTTTTATTTTAGGGTGTTTTAGGACATTGCTCACTGAGTGTAATAATAATACTCGGTAGGTATTTATTAAATGTTGTATTTAATAAAACTATAAGATTAACAATATACACGTTACATCTTTTTATTAACCTCCTAACCTCCTATCTTCATGGTGCCACGCCTCTTCTTCTTCTTTTCCATGTGGCCTATTACTACATCTCCCCCTTTTACATTATTATTTTTTTTTTAACAAACTTTAATCATACAAAAAAAAACTATGCTAATACAAAATACAATCAGAGTAAATTATACTAATATAAAATATAATCAGAATACTTGGCAGGCTGTATGATAGTACGTGATGGTCTCAAGCTCATGTCAGTATCACACTCTGAACTGCTAGAACTCTGAGCTTTACTACAACTAGGTGTATTATCATTGTCATCACTTAAATTCTGAGTCTGCCTAATATCATGATCAATTTTTGACCTACGCAGGTGATAGCTGTTTCTACATAAGACATTTTTACCATTATCAATTAAATAAGACCTGGGAGACTCATGTTTATTGACAATAACAGCCGGACTCCATTGATTATTATCTTTGTATACCACATTTTCACCTTGCTTATATTCGGGCCTATTTCTTGTCTGTCTATCATAATATTCCTTATAAGTATTATTTCTTTCTTCTAATTTTGACCTAACTTCTTTGATATTATCATTTTGTTTTTCAACAACTGGTAATTTAGTTTTTAGTTTTCTGCCAAATAGAAGTTGAGCTGGTGACCTCTTGAGATCAGTAACAGGAGTATTACGATAGTTCATTAGAGCAACCCACATGTCATCTGATTTTCTAATAATATTTTTAGATATCTGTACAAACCTCTCAGCCAAACCATTCGATCGAGGGTAATGGGGGCTACTAGTTTGAAATTTAAACTTAAATTTATCTGCAAACTTTTTGCATTCATACGATCCAAAAGGCATATTATCAGCTATAATTACATCTGGTATACCATGTGTTGCAAATATCTGCTTGAGTGCATTTATAACATCAGACGATTGTTTACCTCTTATAGGGATTATTTCTAGCCACTTCGTTAAATAATCAGCAACAACCAAATAAGCTTTGCCACCATGTTCCATAATATCAGCACCCAATTTTTGAAATGGCAATTCCGGGACATCATGAGATATTAATGGCTCTTTACTATTTGCATACCTATACTTTTCACAAATTTTGCAACTCTGTATCTCATTCGCAATATCCACACTCATCCCTGGCCAAAATAAGACATCTTTTGCTCGATCTCTTGAACGATTTATACCAAAATGACCTTCATGTACAATTTGAAGCATTTCTTTTCGCAACACTTTAGGTACAACAATTCTATCATTGAAAAATAAAAGATTATCATTAACAAACAACTCATTTCTTAACTGGTGAAAAACTTTCATCTCTCCTTCATACTTTGCATTCTTCCACCCTCTCAGACAACACTCAATGACTTTGCTCAGTACATTATCTTTTATCGTTTCTGCTTTAAACTGAATCTTTCTAGTATCACTCATTCTTAAATGCTTTTCTAGTGAATGCACCATTTCATTCATATCAGCATCATTCTCTGCACTTTCATCACTTACATTTCTAGACAAATAATCAGCAATATGTAAATATTTACCAGGTACATACTCAATTTGTATATCATATTTCAGTAGCTTCAGTTTTAGCCTCTGCATCCTAGGAGAACTAATTTGACTTATTTGCTTACTCATGATACTTACATTAGGTTTATGATCTGTTATGAATTTTACAGAGCGACCATAAATATAATTGTGGAATTTTTGACATGCAAACACTACGGCTAATAACTCTTTCTCTATGACAGCATAATTTTCCTCAGTACCTGTTAAACCTCTAGAAGCATAAGAAACAGGTCTTCCACCTTGCATTAGATAACATCCTAAACCAAACTGAGACGCATCTGTTTAAATTACAATATCTTTACTATAGTAAAATTCATTAAGCGGTGCAGGAAAATATAAACATTAAATCGTGTCCGAACTGGTATGAACCGCCGATAACATCGCCAGACGAAATAAAGATGGACATTCCGGTTAGTTTTTAAATATTTTTGAAGAACTGTTACTTGTATTTATGCAGAAAATATTCATTAATTTTATAAATCGGAGTATTTTTTCACTTACTTTGTAGTCAGTGATAACATTAATTTATTTACTATGCAATAAACACGAATATTTAAGAAAAGAAAAAAAAAATAATAAAGTGTCATAATTATACTGTTACTTATCGGAACGAGTAGACTCATTTGGAACATCTTTAACAATTATCTGTTAAATTTATCGTTGTTTATATGCCCTGCACCGCTTAATGGAATAAGGTATAGAATCAAAATTCTTTAGAGATATATTTTTAGTAAGTTCCTGTTTTATCACATCCAGTGCTTTACTGTGAACTCCATGCCACTGAAAAATAACATTCTTTTTCAGTAATTGATACAGTGGGCTTGCAATCTCACCCAATTTTGGAACAAATTTTCGTGCATAATTTACCACACCCAGCAGTTTTTGAAGCTCTTTCTTGTTTGACGGGTTTTTTAGGTCATTTATAGCACTCAATGTATCATTATCTATTTTCATACCATCTTCACTAAAAATGTGTCCCATGTATTTCACTATCATTTGTCTAAACTGAAATTTTGATTTCCTAAACTTTACACCCATTTCCCTAGCTCTATTAAACACTATTTTAAGTGTCTTGTCATGTTCCTCCATGGAATCAGATGCAATTAATAGATCATCAAAATATATAATAACAT